AACAATTTTCTTTCGTTTATAGTTAATTTTTGTATGTCGATCTTGTATCCTGTAAGCTTATTTAATGCATGCATTAGTTTTAGGTTTTTTGTAGATTCTATCAGATTAATGTATGTATGTTGAAAAATAAAAATTGTACATATTTATGGTGTACAACATGACCCTTTGAAATATATACACATTATGAAATGGCTGATTTGAGCTAATTAACAAATGTGTTACCTTGCATATTTATCACTTTTTGTGGTGAGAACCCTTAAAATATGCTCATTGATTTTCAAGAATACAATCCCTTGATATTAACTATAGTTCCCATGTTGTACCATAGATCCCTTGAATGTATTCCTCATATCAAACTGAAATTCTGTGGCATTTTACCAACATCTCTCCAGCAGCTCTCCCTGGTCCCCAGGTAACCAGCATTCTACTCTGCTTCTACACATTCAACTTTTTAAGATTCCACATATGAGTGAGATCATGTGCTATATGTCTTTTTGTGCCTGGCTTAAAATAATGTCCTCTAGGGCCATCTATGCCATCACAAATGCTAAGATTCCCTTCATTTTTTGGCTGAATAATATTTCATTCTTTGTCACATTTTTTGCATCCTTCCATTGAAGGACATTTACATAGTTTCCATACCCTGGCTATTGTGATTAATGCCACAATACATATGGGAACGCAGACATGTTTTTGAGAAACTAATTTTATTTCCTTTTGATATATACCCAGAAATAGGATTGCTAGATCATATGGTAGGTAGTTTTCATCGTTTAAATTTTTAATAGGAAAATGACACTGTAACTTTTAAGGAACTATATACTGCTTTCCATGATAGCTGTATGAATTTTTATTCCCACCAACAGTATGCAAATGTTCTCTTTTCTCCATCTTTGCCAACACTGCTGTGGGTGATGAGCTGTCCATTCAAGGCAGAGATGTCAAACCTCACAGGTTTCAAATGTCCCAAAAGTGCCCCATGCCTTAAAACTCGCTTCCTCAACGCTGGGACACTGTTCTGAGGGATGAGGTTACCATCTGTGTCTTTAAGACGTTGGCCACTCAGGCCTTGCTTGAGATGACGCTTATGATGTCCCTTGTAAAAATGCCTAAACCATCATCACCTTAAGGTCGGTTTTTGGAGGCTTCTCCACTTTACTGGGTTGGTGAAAATGGCCCACCAGACACATGCCCGGGACGTGGAGTTTTCTCCACTGCTCTTAGCAGATCCTGGGTAACCCAGTAATTACTCTCCCTCGTGCCTCAACTTCCACATCAGCAAAAAAGGCGCCAGTGAGGGCGACATATCCGTGAAGCCACAGCCCGTGTCACCCTGCAAAGCTCTGAAGTTGTTCACGGAGGGCAGGGGCAGGATTTCTCTAAAACCGGCCCAACTGATGCTCTGGCTGGAGGGAGCAGGGTCAGCAGCACGAAGGACAGTGTCTGGGCATCAGCCAGTTCCCGCAGCGGTTTAGGAAAGCGGGAGGGACAGGAAACCGAGCTTCACGGCGGGAGGGGGAGCGAGGAGCAGACCCAACAGATAAAGGCAAATGCGAGGTGCACTTCGCAGCCTCTCACCCTCCTCACTTCCCGCCTGGGCCTGCCCCAGGCGACGGCGGCAGGAGCCAGCAGCCAGCCCGCTTTGAAAAGGGCGGGACGCGTACCTCCCTGCTCCTCCGCCCGGCGCATGCTGGGATTGTAGTCCCGCAGCCCGGCGAACACCGGGCTGGCAGGGACCAGAGACCACAGCTCCCAGAATGCCAGGCGAGTCGCGCACCTCCCTGTCCCCTCCGCCCGGCGCATGCTGGGATTGCAGTCCAGCGGCCCAGCGAACACCGGGCTGGCAGGGACCAGAGACCACAGCTCCCAGAATGCCAGGCGAGTCTTCCACCTCCCTGCCCCTCCGCCCGGTGCATGCTGGGATTGCAGTCCCGCGGCCCGGAGAACACCGGGCGGGTACGGACCAGAGAGCACAGCTCCCAGAATGCCAGGTGAGTCGCCCACTTCCCTGCCC